AACAATCCCCATCTGTTGATGGAACATGAAACTGTGTCCATCTCACTGGGTTTTATGCACACACACACACAAAAATTTCCTGTGAGGATAAGAAAGTCCCTCGCTGTACTCAGAAAAAAATGTTTGCGCGCGTGAGATGTTCTTATGAGAATAGAGCTACACTGGTAGAATTAAGCTGCCATCAAAAATTCTGAATGGTCTTTTCAGAAACGTTTTAAGTAGATTTTTTTACTACAAAGATTGTGCCTTTTTAATTTCTGATCTGTTAAGTGGTTATAATATTCTCAAAAATAATTTGACGATTTATTAAGTCATTTTTTGTATGACCTTTTTATTGTTTCAGATTAGATGAGAAGTGTCCCTTTCATTTTCTCATATTTTATATTATCAGTTTAGCCCGTCTGCTTATCTAAAACACACATACATAAACAAATCTTGTGAACCATCTTCAGCTGAGGTGAAATCTGAGCAAATTTCAGACTTCATTAGACAACCAAAAGCCCGAGGTCAGACCCATCAGAGCAGATAAGACTGAACAAGAAAAGGCACGGTGACAACTCAGCTTCCTGATGATTAAATATGGATTTAATGTGACATTTCCTCCTTCCACCAGCCTGGTTTCAGCCCTTGTTGGAAGCCTATACCAGATTTTGATTCAATGAAAAAGCAGGTAAGAGAACTTTAGGAAACCATAAATTCATAATAATGGGAATTTTTTTTGTTCTTACATCCTCTGACTCAGCAGTTCTCAAACTGTGTTCCCAGGAGCCCCAGGGGTCTGTGAGCTGTAGCTTGGGGGTCCTCAAAAAATTGCAATAAATTGTTAAAGGGGCAATATCATGTAAAATCAACTTTTGAGTTTTATATCATGTTATACTCTCGTAAAAAAACATGCTCAAAGCCTTGCTCTGACTCATTCATGCATGTTTGAGAAATCCTGCAGCGTTTTTAGGAAGCCATGCTGAGGAGCAAAACGACAGGTGGGGGCCAGAAACGCCCCTGGGACGTGTCTTTAAGCCGAACTTCTTCATGGCAGAGCGCCCCCCCCACACACACACACACACACCCCACCCATGACTCCTGCAGGCTCTCGGGTGAAAGTGAAACCTGTCTGCTGAGCCCCTAACACTAGTTCTCTCTCAATGAAGCTCTTTTCAGATGAAAAATACTTTTGAGGAAATGTATTTTCAGATGCCAAGTACACTGCAGCATAGCCCCACCCCCCTCAATGGGCGGGACAGAAGCGAAGGTGGTTCTTAAAGAGACAGAGGCCAATTTCAAGGTGTTCAGAAGAGGAAGTGATGAAAAGATAAGTTTATTTTCTATTTAAACATTAAAACAGCATTTTAATACCAGCTAAAAGTGACATAGGTACCTTATTATGGTATAGTATTTAAATATATGCCTGAGAAACACATAATATTGGCCCTTTAATTTTGTTGTATCATTTTAAAATGTGCAAAAACAACCAAAAAAATAATTATTTTCATAGCATTAAAACTGCAGTAAATCATTTTAAATCAGCATGAGGTTTTTGAGGAAGTCCCTGGATTTTCTTTTCTTCTTTAATGGGTCCCCAGACCCAAAAAGTTTGAGAACCCTGTTTTGATTGACCCTGTTTGAGCAAACTTTAGATCTTTGATTTAAAAGTCTTTCAGTCAGAGATTGACCACAAAATCCAACATGGCTGCTCTGCACATAAAACATATCTGCAGTATTAAACTTTTTAAGGGCATTTTTGTCAGGTTGTATCACATTACATCAGTCTGAAACACATTTCATTGGACATCTCTATTAATAAAAATGTAACTGTGGCATTTGATGACGTGAAGTGCAGTTCAAATGTTGTAACCAGCCACTGCTAACAACTAGTGCATCAGAGCACAATAGTCAGTAAACTTCCTTAACTAAAACTTCACAAAACCAGTTTCCTGAATAAAAAGGCTACAAGAACTAATGATTAGATAAAACTGGTGTTTTAAAATAGGTAAGTTTGGTTTTTAGAGTAACTGCAGGCATGCAACATTAAAAACAGACTAACTTTAATTATGCCGTTTCACTCACAGAAAAGGTATCTGTCTGTGCCGGCTTAAAATAGCAGTCTATGCAGAGGCAGGCCTATATGTGGTCTTTTTCTGTCACTGAAAATCAAATGCCTTCTCTAAGAGAAATCCAATTCATGGGCATAAATGTGAGAGGGAAACTGAAAAGTGAATTTAACAAAGAGTCTGACATTAGGTATCGTTTTCTTACTCCTAGAGGAAAGAGTTTGTTATAAATTGTCAGGAAATGTAATATTGCACTAGCTTAAAATGTGTAATTTTGTAGCTGAATTTAGGTAAAAGAATGATCGTGATCTGGTGTGCATGTGTGGAAAACAATTTGAAAACAGGCATGGCATTGTGGTGACATGTCAATCATTCTATTTTTGTTCATACAATCCTCAGATGTCTAATGACAGGAGACAACCAGTAAGACTAAATCATGACTCCATAGAAGCTTTAGGAAATTCATTACAAGATGCATCAGTCAAACACTGGAACCCTTAGTTTAAAAACCCTGCGTCTCTAAACAGGCATCAACAAGCGGTTGTTGACTAAAATTATCATGAGCAACAATAATATTTCACGCCTGACATTTCATCAGGTTTAAGATTCAGATTGTGTCCAAACAGCTTTTAATTGCACAAGAGATTTTGACAGGTTGAAGCAGGAAGAGCATGTGTGTAAATAATAACATGGCTGAATCCCATTTAGATGTCCCAGTTTCAGGGTCAAGGTTCCTGAGTCTGTATCGGTCATTACGGAGACGCAATCCTGCAGGGCCTCTGCCAAGTGTCACTGGGTCCTACGACTAGCAAATAAAACGTTGTTTCAAGAGATGGTGGACAAAAGAACAAGTGTCGGGTCTCAAAGAAACGATCTACAGATGAGAAATTGAAAGCTGTCTTAAGACAATAATATNATAATAAACAGTAAAGGCTTGAGACTTGCTCTATCCTTTAGTTCAGAGGTCTGCAACTTTTACAGTCAAATGTGTCATTTCTGCTCCTTGGCTCACTACAAAAATGTGTCCTGAGACACAAAACATGCTACAACTGTGATTATCAACTGGTGGCTCGTGGGCCACTGAGTTTGTTTAAGGGGAGCCTTTCTGGCCAGTGTGGGTGACATAAAACAAATAATGTATTGCAGATTTTAAGTTTTTTTTTTTTAATATTACTATTTATTTACCAAAAAAAGAGAAGACCATGTAATCAAAGAGAATATTGTATTTTATTGATACCTATTTTTTTTTATAAAAACCTACAATTGAACTGATGTAGGCACTTTTTTCCTAATTATTATTAATATCCAGTCTAGTCTTAAAGGTGTTCTAATCAACTTGTAGTAACTTCTTATATATCGATATATGCAAAAAAAAATAGACAGAAAAACTGATAGTTAACTTTTTCTGTTGCGGCTATAAAAACAAAATTAATTCTCTCATGTTAGCTTTGGTCAATGCTTCAAGGGGCCGCTGTGGTGGGGCCAAAGACCACATTTGGCCCCAGAGCCGCAGGTTTCAGACCCCTGCTTTAGTTGATTACTCCGAATGTCAAATTTTTAACTCATTGCTAGCTTGAAATCATCCTGTTGGTACAAGTCAAATTGATATTTCTTTTACAGATTCAACCAAATAAACAGACTAAAATGTATTTTTGACCCAGCCTGCTGGTAACTGTCACTGTTAGTGAAGACTGAACAATGCAGACAAGAATGAGGAGCCCAAAAAAAAAAGAAACTTCAAAACTTTAATAGAGAAAATAAATGAGCCGATATGGCAGCGACCGCTTACAGGAAATGAAGAAAATCATGGAGGATGAAGCATGGCAGAAACACCACTGGTTCATCTCATACAGTTGGGAGCTATTTAATGCTTAAATAAGTTATTGGTCAGAGTTAAATGGTTTAACAAGCAAAGAAAAATAAATAAAATCATCTGAAACTGGTCAAATAGTCAAAGTTTAAAGAGATTTTCATGGAAGATCAAAAAAGGTCTGGATCCATGGCAGCAAAGTATATGGTTGAATCAAGACTTTTTTTTTTAACACAAATCTCATATCATATAAATCTTTATGTACATATATTTAAAAAGTGTTAAAATAAATCCAACAACAAAGCCCACACTCGGAGTTACACTGCTGCTGGATTTCTACAGAATTTGAACAGATTGCAAAATCAGATCTGATTTGAATTCATAAACAATTGTTTTGTAATGTTTGTTTTTTTGTAGTAAACTGTTCTGCAATGATTGAAGAAACACATTTCTATCTGCAACTGCCTGTCTGTCCTTTCACAGTGACCTGCTGCGAGGCACACAGGGATAACCCACTGAGAACGTGTGTGTGTGTGTGTGTGTGTGTGTGTGTGTGTGTGTGTGTGTGTGCGTGTGCGTGTCAACAGAACAATGAAACCCCACACATTTATCCAAATATTGCCGGGAAAGCCCTCTGACAAAGCTCGCACATCCAGCCAATTACTCTCGTGCAGAAGTGTGTGTAATCCAGCTGATGACACATGCTGACACCGACAACAAGCAGACAATAGGGGGAAACATCAGCCAAGGGTTTTACTTGCAGATTTCCATGAAATTAAAAATATATATAAAGCCAATATTTTGATGGGTTTAAACCAACATATCTCTTCTATAGAGCAAATTCTGCAACATTAGGTTCTCACTGCAGGAAAATAAATATTCATTGCTTCCCTGATCATGTACGTCTTTTTGTTCTAAAAAAAACCCACAAACTACCATCCGAATGTTTTATTAAACTCATTCACAGACACACACACCGGTTATTAGCAGTCGGCAACAACGGCGTAAAGAAACTAAGTGAAAAGAAAAATCTTTAATTCACAGAAGATGCTAATTAGGCCAAATCTATTGTAGCTGAGATGTTCAGTAACAGAGTGATGCTGAGGGTCTGTTGGATCTGCAACATGTGCGTCACTACTCACCAGTTCTTGGTTGGTAGAGTTGGAGTCGTCTCCAGGAAAGGGGATGTAGATGGCTAAGGCCACACAGTTGGCAAAAATAGACAGCAGTATGAAGATATCAAAGGGTCTGGAAAGTGATGGTCAAGGAAGACGAGAACCTCAGAGAGCAACATGAAAGTGGGATGGATGGATGGATGGATGGATGGATGGATAGATGGATGAATAAATGGGTAGATTGGATTGGGATGGATGGATGGATGGATGGATGGATGGATAGATGGATGGATGGATGACCCTGTCACTTCTCTCAACAGTTAGTTCTGTCATGGTAATGCTTCTATCTGTGCTGATCAATGATGTCATTTTCAGAGTTCAGAGTTGGGGAAACACCACATCTGCCTTTATGTTTGCTTTGTTTTACTTTTAACAACTATTCATGACTAAATAGAAGATAGAAATCAGCTTAAGCAATTTGAAGAAAATTTGTCAGGTTTTTTTAATAGAACATCGGCAACAAGATTCCTCCAAAAAGCTTCCATTTTCTTGGTGAGTGAATGCAGAATTAAACAGCATCAACTTCTGGTTGAAGCAGTTTTCTGAAAAATTATCACCAATTCTGCATGTCTATAATAAAATATTATTTTACTACGTTTTAAATTGTACTTTTTATATGTAAACTCTTTTTTTTTTTCAACAAATTTCTAATTCATTTTTGAGCATCATTAAAGCAGTTTTTAGACAAAAGGTTACAAATGAGGTTGATCATCCTGTTTGTTAGTAGTAGAGTGGTTACAAATTTGTACTTTCAGAATAACTGCACATGACAGAAGTGGAGTTACTGCCACCAGCTGTTACCAACAATCCAAAAGTAAAAGCAATCCTGCCCCTGCAACAAGTGCACCCCCTTTGTTAAAGAGTCATCCTTTCCCCTCGAGCTCAGAAAGAGAGAAAAAGTTATCAAACTGCATCTGAATTTCTTAAAATGTCTTGTTTTGAGTCCAAACCTCACATACATTCTCTAGCATTTTTAATGTCTGGAACTATTAATAAGCCCTACTTTACCTTCAGTATTTTGTGCTTTTCATTTGATATTTGAATTTTGCACTCCAACAAGCTGCAGGTTCTAATCTAAAAAGGATACTTCCACTCCACCAGGCTGATGCAGGCCCTGCGGATCGGGTTGTTGAGGGTGAGGCAGAACAGGGCCCTGGGGGGCCGGCTGCTGGTGGATCCTCCTTGCTTTTTGCTTTTAGCGTACTGCTGCCTCTTCCTCTGCGCCAGGGAGCCGACAGGAGCCGCTCCAGTGTTGGTGAGGGAGGGCTGGGAGCTCACGTCGGGCATTTCAGAGTCGTCCTGCGCTTGTCGAGCCGCGGTGATGGCGGCGTGCCAAGCAAGGACCGGGCTGACACCGGAGCCGGAGCCACCCTGGCCCTGAGCCCCGAGGAGCCCATGAGAGGAGCCGACGGGCTTCCCGGTGCTGGCTGGAGCCTGAACGGGTTCTGATGGAGGAAGCTGAAGCAGACCGGTGTGGTTCTCTGACCAGAGTGCCGGGGTGTCAGTGGAGGGAGTGGTCCTTCTGTTGCTGGCATACTTTGCCCCTGGAAAGACAGAAACAACACTTTGAGACTGAAACTAAAATGGATATAAATACTCTCTTCTGCATTTATTGGTTCTTCCTGACATTTTGCACCAGCCTGAACAAAATTTTAGCTGGGGGAGCTGTGAGCATGTGTGAATTTGCATAACAGTGAACACCCAAATGCATGGTAGAAGTACATGATTTTATTTAATACTAAAAAGTAAAATGCTGTATCACTTGGACAGATCATTTCAAATTGGTAATCTGATTACCTTTTTGTAGGTTTCTGTAAAGATTTTGTGCAGACATACAGCTACACTCAAATTAAAACCTTAACAGCAAAATGTTAAAACATACTCTTCCATTTACTTCAAATAAAATAAATATTGACTAATAAAAAATACTTTTAAGTAATCCTCTTTAAAAATGCTGAACTCTCCCTTAAAGATTAACACCTCACTGATGTTTGAACCACAACTGAGCAAGAAATAAACACATTATAATCTACTTAAGAATGAACATGTAACTTACTGTACTGTTAATAAAGATTCAGAGGTTATTTTGAGAAGATTTATGAAAACTGAGTCATATTTTTAAAAATAAAGTTGGATAACTTAGATCAATACTGTAAACCAAGGATGGGCAACAGGTGGCCCATGGACCACATGACTTCTGTTCCGCCCACCAATGAAGCCCTGCCCACCTAATTATTTCATTTTATTTATTATTTTTTTATTATTTTGGGGAGGTGGACTAACTGTTCACAGAATTTACATATATTTATATACTTCTTTTACAAGCATCAAATGTTTGTTAAGATGTTACATTTAGAATACAATTAACACAGAAACATGCAGCTTGAGAAATAAACTAATAAACTACAAGATAGCGCGTTTCTTTTTACAACAAAGACAAAAAGCAAAACAAACAGTGGCTCGTGCTGGATTGGAAAAACTCCCTTTGTGCAGCTTAAAGGATTATCTGTATTTCAGTGTGAAGAGAAGTGCCAGAATTTCACATTTAGGCTTAAAGAAAGAAATTTTAAAAAAAGGAAAAGAAAAGGAAGGAGTGTTAACAATGATGGGACTGAACTTGTAGGGATTTACGTGTAGTTCAGGATGTAAAGGCGAAAAAGTGTGAGACAGAGAGCAGCTCCGGCCCTGCAGGACTGAGAGAAACTGTCTGTAAAATCAATGCAGACCACGAGGGAACAGGACCGTGCCCTTGACATGGTCACTTCGATGTACAGCAGAATGAAACCACAGCCTGGTGTTCATCGTAAAACCACCAACACTTCATGTCAGCAGAACATTTTTATTTAAATCTGAATGTTATGTGATCAGTGGGCAAAGATGCTTAAAGTTGAATAAAGTCCACAAGAAAGGGTTAGAGTTTCCAAATGCCTTTTTCACATTTATGCTATGTTTGCCTATGTGTTTATTTTTAGCAAAACTCTCACAAGGTAATCTTTTCATCTATGTTTATAATTAACTTTGAGTCATTCAACACAACATCTGCAGATCAGCAGTTTAGAAGATATCGAGCTGTCTCAGATATTCTGAGCACTAACTGATCGTGCAAAATCTGGCTTTAAACCACTGTCTGTTAGCTAAATATCTCACGATGGATTTTTGTGAAACTTTACAACGCAATCACTGGATGAACATCTGTAACTGAATAACTTTTGAAGTGAACCCAAATCAAGATGGCCACAGTTCAACCAAAAAGATGCAAAAACTGCTCAGTTTTACAGATATCGAGCTAAAATGTGGCATAACTGTAGCTTATTCACACTTGCAATCTCACAAGACATCAAGCTTTCAAAAAATAATTTCTCAACATATTTTAAGAAGTGCAGTCTTTTATTATATCATCTGCATTAATGATACGTATTTTTCTAAATTGTTACTGCAAAATTAAATGTAATTTTTCAAAAACCTATAGTCAACATAATATTTCTCGGGATATTTGACTTCTCTTCTAGATGCTTTACATTACATTAAGACACAAACTGAGCACGAGCTGTCATTAATAAGTTGTTTAACATTAAAGGCCTGGAGGAAAAGTGTGTTCTAGTTTGTGTTTTTAACCACTTGTACCCAATAAAACATATTAAAATGAGGATTTAACTTATTTGCACCGAGACAATCCATCCTTCAGAACAACAAAATAAAATAACTTGATGACATAACAGTCAAGATTTTTGTTTTCCTTAAACCAGAGGATTTATTCACGCAGGAAACAAAATCACCTCCTCCTCAGCCCATATTAACATTAATAATAATAAATATAAAACATGATCTTGACTCAGGGAATAATCTGACAGGTTGAAGAGGACATTTAAAGAATAAAACCCATCGAGCGCTCTCGCCCACTCCAACTCTCCATCAGCTCTGCGCTCACATTTTTTTCCTTTACCTTCAGTCTGTTCATCTGCTTCTTGCATCCTCGAATCCACATCGAAAAGGTTTGTTTTAAATCCAACTCATCGTTGGAAGAGACCACCTGAGCGTGACGACGGCGCGAACCCGAGCGGAGGCGCTCAAAGCCGAATTGTTACCGGAGTTTTCCGGAGCGCAGACCCCGAGAAGAGCGCCGCGCGTTTTCCGCCACATCCGGGTCCCTGGCTGCAGACTGACGGCGCGTGCGGAGGAAGAGCTGGACCCGGAGCAGCAGCAGGTCCCCCCCAGACCGAAGACTGGACCTGTTCAAGATGTCCTAACAAGGCGACAAACTTCTACCTGTTTCATTTGGAGCAACATGGGCCTGTACACAGACATTTTATTGTAAAGACCTTTAAAACGCACTATATATATATA